CACACATACACACACATACATCATACACATCACACACACACATACACACACACCTCTCTCACACCTCTCTCTCTCTCTCTCTCTCTCTCTCTCTCACACACACACACACACACACACACACACACACACACACACACACACACACACATATCAAGGGTATCACAAACACCCCTTTTCAGAAGTTACAGGAAACAATCAGCATTACCTTTGATGGGTTGATTACAATGTTTCTGGCAGAGCCATGTTCGTCTCCAGTGAAGGCTGGCTGATTGTTGAAACCCTGCTTTACATTCACAGCGGTAAGTTCATCCTGTTCAAGAGAACATACTGATTAAGCAGAGAACAGAAACACTTCAAGTCAATCCAGACACTGCAGCCTGAGTAAGAACTAAGTTCATTGTTGTCTGTAAGAGAAAGAAGTTGAGAGGACAATAATTAAGAGAGAAGAAACCAAAACCAATGCACACAGTAGGGAAAGTATCGAGTAAATGTTGTAAATTCTCACGATTCTAGGTGTAGGGCAGAGGTTATCTTGATTGGTTACTCAGCTTGTAAGAGCATGGAGTCAATCTTGACTGTCAGCTTGGCAGGATTAAAGTCATGGTGAAAACACATCTCTCAGTGTGTAAAGTGTCCTTAGGAAAATTAAACTGAGCAGGAGGACTCGCACTATGGTGATGCCATCTCAGGAGATGGGGTCCTGGACTTAAGAGAAAGGAACGAGCAGGATGAAACCAGCTCTCATTTCTGCTTCCTCATGTGAGTTCTGTACACCCAACCTCCCAAGCTTCTGGGGCAATGAGTTATTTCCCTGCCATGATGGACTGTTATTACCTCAACCTTAAGCCCAAATCCTCCCTCCCCTACATGACCTCCCCTGGAGTGCTGGGGATGCTGTGAATGTGTTGCTCTGATTGATTGATAAATAAAATGTTGATTGGCCAGTAGCCAGGCAGGAAGTATAGTACAGGTGGGATAAGCAGAGAGGAGAATTCTGGGAAGAGGAAGGTTGAGTCAGGAGTCACAAGCCAGACACAGAGGAAGCAAGATGTACAAGTACTGGTAAGCCACAAGGCATGTGACAACTTATAGATTAATAGAAATGGGTTAATTTAAAATATAAGAACTGGATAGCAAGACACCTGAGCTATTAGGCCAAACAGTTTAAATAATATAAGCGTCTGTGTGTTTATTTGGGTCTTAGCTGCGGGACCAGGCAGGACTGGAGATAACTCCAGCAACACTGGAGGGCATGTGGTCACAGCAGGGAGATGAATAACTACTGCAAATGTCCTACTATTTTAATTGCTCTGTGAGTGCCATGAACTCTTTAGCTTATAAATTGGAAAAAGAAAAAAAAAAAAACGGGTAACAGCTCCTTCTCTCACACACAGAAAGAGGCTGTAGAACTTTTTAAGTTTTTGTGAGAGTTGCTTTTGCCCTTCTAGCATGTGGGTCCTGGGGATTGAACTGTCTAGTCAAAAGGCTTGCCAGCAAGCTCCTTTAGCTGCTGGGTCGTCTCACAACCCAAGATCATAAAGTGTTTTTAATTGGAACTGTCCTGAGGAGCTCATAGTTTGACTCTTCTTCCTTATTGCACTATTTTTAAATGTTTATTTATTTGTCTGTGCATGGGTGTTTTGCCTGCACAAATGTCTGTGCACCACATGCATACAGTGTCTGTGGAGGCATCAGAACTAGAGTTAGAGACCATGTGAGTAATCCTCGGTCCTCTGGGAAAGCAGCCAATGCTAAGCAATCTCCCTAGCTCTCAGCCCTATTTCAGATTCAACAAAGCTCTCCCATCTAACTTATCCAAGACCCTATAGTGAGTTACAGACAGAAATGAAAGGTTTATAGTAATAAGTTTTGTGGTGGTAAACATGCCCAACCACAACCCATAGCTGGGAGTGGGGGGGGGGGTCACTAGTGCTACATACTCTAGTTCACTCAATCCTTACCAACTCAGGTGCTCTATGGTCAAATCCATCGCACAGGTAAGAACAGTGACATACGCTAGCTATACTAGTGATAATCTGGCCAGGCCAACACTGAAATATCATCCTGAGGATGATCCTAGACCACAAAGAGTTCCATAGCATAAAGAACAAATGTCACATGAAAATGTGGTCCAAAAATACAATGCTACTCCTACGATCCTTAAAATGACCTCCTGAATAGAGGTGGGAAAACTTGGCTAAGGTCACAACACATCGAAAAATAGCCTGGAAGAATAATAAGTATTATTATTAATATTATTGTTTGTTTAGGTTTTGTTCTTGTTTTTCGAGATAGGGTTTCTTTGTGTAGCCCTGGCTTTCCTGGAACAAAGTAGACCAGGATGGCCTTGAACTGAAGAGATCTGCCTGCCTCTGCCTCCCTAGTGCTGGGATTAAAGGTATGTGCCACCAAGCCTGACTGATAGCATGGAATTTTAGAAATTAAAAAGAAAAAAGAAATAAAAAAAAAAAAGCACGACCTCCTTGCCCTGCCCAGATTATCACTGAGTTCTAGAATAAATCAGAGCTTGAAAATACAGAAGGGGGAAAAAAAGGTATAAAAAATGAGGCAAGAGACCATCTCAGTGAACTGAGCTGATGGTCACCACAGCACAAAGCAAAGAATGACAGACACCACATGCAAATGAGAGACAGGAAACTATTCCAAGGGCTGCTGTGACTAGTCAAAACTGGCTACCTTGGCTGAGAACCTCAGTCTGCTAGAATGTGCCATGCAACTGCATTGTGTGTGCATTCATGGGCATCTTGGCTGGTCACTGCTTTGGCCACTTTCAAAGGATCCCAATACATGGAGCAAAGTTCTGTGGGAATCAAGTCTTCTCCCAGCTGAGGCGGCCACTCAAATGATGATCCACACAGAAGACAGACTCCTTAACCATATCCAAAGACACCTCAAACTGGTCACCCATTATCAAATTAACTATTCAAAATTTTAAGACAAAACTACAAAATGTATATTTTAAGTCAGGAAGGTTTTGATCAATCTTTTTTTTTTTTTTTTTTTTTTTTTGGTTTTTTTCGAGACAGGGTTTCTCTGTGTAGCTTTGCACCTTTCCTGGAACTTGCTTGGTAGCCCAGGCTGGCCTCGAACTCACAGAGATCCACCTGGCTCTGCCTCCTGAGTGCTGGGATTAAAGGCGTGCACCACCACCGCCCGGCCGATTTTGATCAATCTTAAGAAGCGGTTAATAAAAACGTCTGTTTAGCCTTAGTGCCTAAAACAGTAGGGGTACACATGGAGTCATGAAAGAGTATCAGAAGAAAACTGGGTATAAATTTGATTGTGATTTGCCACTAAAGCAATGGGGGAAACAGTGAGTATCAACAATATTTTTTACTCCCAAGGGCTGTGATTTACTCACAAGGAAATACGAGACTTTGAGATCGGCTGGTTCTGCAGCATCTCTACTTTCTACTCTGAACTGACACAGCTCACTTAGCTCCTCCCCCCCCCCCCCCCCCCACCCCCCCCCCCCCCCCCCCCCCCCCCCCCCCCCCCCCCCCAGATCTCACACTTTGAGTCTTCACCACTTCAAAAGAGGTTCTACAGAAACAGGCAAAAACCAAGAGCATGGCAAGCCAAATTTGCATGGATGGTCTGTTTTCTGAAGTACGTGGAATGAGCAAACACTGATGGCAGAGATCCAAACGCGCTGAGAAGAAGACACACTCCAGTGTTGTCTCCTGTTGACAGCACAAACTCCAGCGCTGCACCAAGAGGCTCCCCTCAAAGGAAGATCATCCTCTCCAACCTGGAGGCGCCTTCGGATCCAACTTTGAGAAAGCAGGCTAGGACAGTGGTAGCATTAGGCAGCTTTAAGTGATTTAGACAAAAGGTGATGTGTGTCACCTGCATTCACACAAGAAGCTACTGTGACGGCTCTGCACGCTTTGCCAAGATTAATTAGGTGTAATTAGAAAAGAAAGAGCCCAAAATGTGGAACAGAATGCTTCTAAGCTGCCAAGCCAGAGCTAGGGACACAAACAGCTACCTCCCTATGAGCTTTGAACTTCTTCAAAGCCTTTCCTAAATAGATGAGTAACAGCCATCCACTGTTACAATGACTTTCCTTGGGAAGACAGGGAGACAGATCACAGCCATTACCTTGTAGCCCAAGGCAGCATTACACTGCCCCATGATGCTCACATATGGAACTTCTATAGGTAGGTAACAAAGTTGTTCCAAAAGTAGCTAGAACAGGGATAAGAAAGGCTCCTACACTCCTTCCCACTGACTTCAACTAAAACATAAGCCTTAGGTGGAAAGTACATGTAGCACATGCTGCCACCCCAGCACTCCAGAGGCAAAGGCAAGAACACATGAGTTCCAGCCGGAGCTACATGGTGATCCCTTGTGTCAAAAAAGAAAATACAGTACACACCTTAAAGCAAATTTAGAAAGAAAGAAAGGGAAAAAAAGCAAATGCCTACAGAATCCCATGCTAACAGAAAAAGCTAGTGTTTACATTTTTCTCTACATTTTTAGATTCTATATAGATAGAAAAATCAGATATTTGGGACTATGGGCAAACTCCTAATGCAACCATGAGTCTCACATACATATGCTGAGGTTGCTATTTTTCTGGATCACTTTCAAAGCAATCTTTTAATTTCAACAAAATATTTCAAGGCTAGCGAGATGGCTCAGCCAGTAGAGGCGCTTAGGTGCAGACCGGACTACCTGAGTTTGATCCCCAGGACCCACAGAAGAGAACGACTCCCAAGGCTATCCTTGGTCTCCACATGTGTGGCACAGGTAAGCACGCACACACACACCTTTTTTTTCTCCCTAAGTAAAAAAGATCTCTTTGGAGAAGTGAATACATTTTTTGATGCCATTCTGGAAACTGCGTAAGCTCCTTCTCACTCAAGAAATGGAACAAAAAAAAAAGCCAGCTCAGCACAATTTCCAAAGACCATGTCAAAGGCAGATTAATAAATGGCACACGAACCTGCACACACACACACACACACACACACACACACACACACACACACACACACACACACACACACACACTCATGCCCCTTTCCACCCTCATCATCTAATACATAGACCAAAATCTCCACCAGAGATGAACACAACAGATCAGCAGGAAACCAGCCCCTTAGCTGCTACCCAGGAAGACTGGTTAACCTATCTCACCCAGACACAGGTGTAGTGGGTATTCGCTCCACCCATGACCTTGGGCTAGCTGACCCGATAGAGGCAGTGCTTCTTGCCTGCCTGGACGAAGGCTTCCTGGCTTCCTCAAAAGAGCATTCTCTCAGACCCCTGAGGTTGCCTGCT